CCCAACCGCTCTCCCCACCGCCAGGACTCTCCGAGGCCTTGAGCGGCCGGCTGCTGTGGCTCGAGGAAGGCGGGTGCAGTTCGGCTCGCCGTGACGTGACGACGGAGACGGTGGAGACGGAGACGGAGACGGGAGTCACCAGGAGTCACCAGGAGTCACCAGGAGTCTAACGGTGACCAAGAGAAGTAGCCAGTGACCCGGACCAAACTGGCGTACCCAACTGGGATAGTCGAACTAGGGTTCTTCAACCTTTGTTGGTAGGTTAGGGGTGCCTGCCGGAGGTAGCAGTGGGGGTGCCCCGAACATCACAGCCCCGGAGCCACTGGGACGCCAGCCAGGCAACTCCATGTGACTCCTGGCGACTCAAGAGCACGTTGGTGACGATGGTGACGATTGGAGAATTGGATTCAAAGACATTCCAACAGAGGTTGAAGAACCCTATAGTCCGTCCCATATGTACCACTACAGGGTCCTATAAGGTCTTTCAACCTCTGTTGGTTTGGAGGAACTGTCGCACTATACTGTACCCAGCACCGGTCTTGTGACCCACCCACAAATGGGCGGTGAAAAGGGCAGGCTGGGCTGGTGGAAAAGTGACTGTAGTCCAAACTGTCCAAACCCTGTTTTCTTGAGATGTCTACAAAGTTGTCCAAGCTACTGGTATTCATCTTCTATATGAGCTGATGGGGAGAATTCGCGTTTTGTTTTCTCCCTGAAAGAACCGGTGGCGAGCGATGAGTGATGATCAGTGATGATCAGTGATGAGTGATGATCCACCTACCCTGGGAGTCAAAGACTGTACAAAGAATGGTCTGACTAGTTGACCCAAAAATAGTTATCCTTTATATACCTCAGTCGGTCAAAATGTAGTCGAACTGGACTTCTAGGGCCTACCCAGGAAAAGTGGACCACCAAACTTCGTCATCCATCTGTATGATGAGAGTCCAGTCGGCCATTTTTTGGTCTTCGGCCTTCTTCAGGTGATCCGAAAAGAGAGTTGAACTTCTAGGGATCCTTTAAGCAACATGTTTACGGAGTTGGCTTCCCACCCAAGACCGATACCAGCACCCTCCAACCTGCCAGGTCACCAGGTCGCTACCCAATGGGTCGTCGGAATTTTTCAGCCACCAGAGACCACTTCGGAGACCTATATACTGTATATAGAGCTCGTCGGGTGCATTTTGTTCGAAAAACCATGTACCTGGGCCATCCTGTTTGGGTGTCCCATAGACTACACTGCCTACACTGCTGTCCTGGAAAGGTTGGACACCCAGACAGCCAGGAGGATCCTGGCTCGGCGTTTGGAATTGGGACGTTCTTTTGCAAAAAGGCAACTGTTTGCCAGGCGAAGACGATGGGACCTTGAGCTATCTATCAATGATCAATAGCGCCTTGCCAGTTCCCAACGCAATCTGTCCAATTCATGTAGGACTGTTGATGATATTTCGAACATTTTTAAACCCTCCAAGGCCTCAAGAAGTACATTCCCAAAAGCAGTGGTGTTAATGCATCGTCTACAGTTATGCCGGTTGACTTGCTCTCTGGGATATGCAGCTGGCGCACCCTTCACTCGTCGCTCGCGACTGGCGAGGCACGTACACGGCACGAGAGAACCTGAGGCGCAGCACGTGTAGCGACGGCGTGGGATGCATGGGTGGGTGTGCTGGTGGATGCATCGTGCATTGCAGTTCCGGACGGATTCAGGGTGCAAGTTGGATGTTGGATGTGCCGTTAGCTGGTCCTGGGTGGTGGTGGATGATGCATGGGAGGAAGATCCCAAAGCCTGGATGATAAGGAATCGAAGCTATTCTCAACCTATGCGTGAAATGAAGGAGCCAACCAACATGCTTGACCTGGATGTAATCATGTAAGATCCTCCACCAAGCAGCTGCAGTGTTTCGGGATTCCAACCTCCTCAATGGGCTGTCGGAATGAGAGAGGAGTCTCTACTCAGTCGACAGCCACTGATGGGAGACCGTCCGTTCGTTCGTGCGCGGTTCGGAGTCCGGGCAGGTTCTTGACGAGCGCCTCGTTGCAACCCTTGCGCGCGCAGATGCGCACCGGGGAGATTGCCACTTGGAGTGCTGGAGCGAAGCTGCCACCGGCGCGGGGGTGGAGTGAAAGATGAAAGAAGATCCTATCCAAAGCAGTTCTGTTTTGCTGTTGATATTTCCAACCCCCAGGCCTGAAGAGGTTTGACAATCCCAAAGCGGAGAGGTGAGACTGTCGACAAGTACTGGTTCATGTGCAGTTACAGTGCTTTCTGGGATCATTCTCCAGTTGGCGCAGGATTTGGACCACCGCACATGCAGACGGGCTGTTGACCGTTCGTTTGGTGAAACCCGCAGAATTTTGTTTGGCCATTTGATAAGTATTCTTTGTGTTGGCCATTATAAGTATACCTCAGTTAAAGAAGCCCCCCTTTTAAAGCAGCCTCATAAGTTATCGCAAGAGTCTTCAGCAGGATTCATGCGATTCATCCAGGGCATGGTAACACGTGAATGCTTCTGCTCCTTCTGTGTACGTCTACGTTGCGCCACTCCTCACTCGCCACACCTGGTGGAGACAGAAACTCGTTTTGAACGGTCCTCAACTCAATGGACTTGTTGGAGTAAAGGAGGGGCTTCTGCCCGAGCGTCGGCTTCATCATGCTGATGACTGACGCTTCTCTACTGGTCATTCACAACCTTTTGCCAAGGTTCTTGAGAGGATTTGATTAATCATATTTCCGGAACTTCTGATTAACTTCGGCCCAAGAATAGCTGGCTTGACAAGTGCATTCACAAGCTTGGCCTCATTTCATCAATACGCATCTTTTGTGGCCACTCTCCTCGAGCAGCACATTGCACCAACTTGTTTTCTTCTTTTGCTCCCTTCTGAAATCTAACCCGCAGGCGGGGACATTGCACCACCTCTAGTCTTAGGGGACCATTCCATTGCGAAGCCTCGTGACTGAAGCCTTCTTTCACGATAGCAGTTGGGTTAGCCTGCTTGGAACGGCTAAGACCGAAAGAGGCTTCTCGCTTCAGACCTTCTCTTCAGGACCAGAAGCAACCAGAAACCCAGAGGGATTGAGACCTACTGCAATTAGTTCGTATAGGCTTTCTTGGTGCGATGTGTAGGCCAAGCAAGAGATCCAGTTTCCGGAGAAAACCACCAGGGACCAGGTCAGACGTCATCAGACTTCGAGTCTCTTCTTTTGAAACCCTCCAACACCGCCTCCATGGCGTCCGCATCGGCGTCAGCTGCGTCGCTGCTCTTTCTGCATCCTCAGCTGCGTCTTTGCGAGCGCGTGGCAGACCACACGGACGGTGGCCTCCAGGGTGGAGCGGCCGAGCGGGCGCGTGGGGCGGGGTATGTGGCGACCGGCTTGCTGAAGCGCGGCGAGCTGCTGGTGGAGGCCGAGGGATGGGCTTTCGGGGCTGGGCGGCTGGGAGAAGCAGTGGAAAAACACGGAGGAAACGGCTGGATGTGTGCATGTCTTTCCGCAATTCGGATGCCTTTGTTTGGTGCGTTTAATTTTTACACTGTTTGCAGGAAGAAGCAGTGACCCTGTCAATCATCGCTATCCGTTGCTCTTCTGGGAACAGAGATTCTCACAAACTGTAGCTCTGTTTGTGATTCTGCCCTATAGGAATCGTTGGACCCTCCATGGCATGGGTCCGTGAGATCGTTGAGATCGTGGATTCTCACTAGACCTATATACCAGCAGTCACAAAGGGGTGCTTAATGGAGGTTAGGGTGCCCATTATCCACTCACTTGGGGACTAAACACCACCCCGACATGTGACTCCTGGTATACTTTGTTCTGTAGCTCTTGTGCCCGCTTGACTCCACCCATCGCTACCACTCTGAAGAACGGTCGAGTGTTCTTGAACTCGTCGGTCTGGGACGTTGGGGTTTCGACGTGGTTTCGACGGCCGCAGGAGAAGCCCTTCGTTTGGGACAGCGGCAGGGAGGAGGAGTTCGACTTGCAGGAGGGTTGCGGGCTTCAAGATCCATCAGAACCTGCCGAAGCAGCTGGTCCTCTGAGTCTTCGGTGCCTTACCTGTCCATCTAGCCATATCTCAGTATGATGTTATATATATATATATATAAGTACAACCAGTCTGCTAACTCGAAGTAACATCAAGTGCGAGTTCTTGAACTTATAAACGTGAGTTGTGGAACTGATAATACACTGGATCTTCTAACTTCTAACTATGCAACATTTCCGCCAACCTTGACTGTTTTTTATGGATGATAGGGCAGACTGTCACAGTTGGAAGATCCAGGTGTATATGTTATTGAACTGATCACTTACGAACTCAGGCGGCCCCACCTGCTCGCGGCCCCACCTCGCTCCGGACCCACCCGACCGCTTCCAGGAGGGCGCCGACTGGCTCGTGTCCAGTGGACTGGCAGCAGAGCTGGGCGGATCCGCTTCGGGCGGAGGATTGGCTCCCCTGGAGTTGACCAAGAGGTGCCGGGGATGGAGGATCAGCTCGCGCAGCGACAGCGCGACAGCGCGACAGCGCGACAGCGCGACAGCTGAGCGAGGGGAGCGGGCTGGGGATGGAGGTTTTTGCTTCGTTTCTTGGAGATCTGTGGATGGAGTGGAAAGAAGAATGGAAGAGAAGTAACAGAAGTTGGCGAAGGGGGTCCTACAACAATCAGGCACTAGTCCATGTTTTTGTTGAGAGAAATGTGTATGAGGAAGGCCAAACGCACGAAGACAAATACCTTTGACCCATGCATGTTTTGTGTAGAGCCAAAGGAGATGGGATGGGATGGGATGGGGTGAATCCCCTTCGCGGGAAGGTTGTTTGTACTTTTCTTGGTTCCTTAAGCAACTCTGAGAAGAGCCCCACCTCTTCCTGTGATCCACTCACACGAAGTTGCAGTCCAAATCTATAGATCCTTCGACTTCCCATCTTCCTCTGCAGACTTCTGAATCCTCACGTGCTGGTAGGTACGCCTTTCGCACGGGTCGTCCTTGTGATGATGGAGCGTATCCAGCGATGCTCTTTCGCAGTTGCAGCCGCTTCAACCACTCGTGTTTTCCCAATGCAGGTGCACCCGCCGGCTGGCCGTGTTTTTAGAAGGGGTTTCAACGCTTGATGGCAGTTAGTGGTGTATTCCAGGCGACCCAATAAGTAAGTATGAACCATTGGTGTTTGTGGACAGGACAGAAAAGAATTGGGCCTGATCAGTGAAGCATCGTCGGAGGGTCCACACGTTAAACAGGCATCTTCCTGGCCAAGCAGGTGGTGCCATCAGGAGTGGATAAGCACTGTAGGACCTGTGGAGAGTCGAAGTGAAGTAATTCAGCATGTCTGGTGGATAAGCACTGAGCAAGTCACTGAGCAAAAGCATGTGCTTCGATAAAAGCCATGAAAACCTGTGCTTCGACCAGTGTCTCACAAGCAACAGCGCAGGTGGACATTTATCTGGAGGAGAAGGTGTGGCTTCAGTCTCCAAGTATCGAGCTACTTTGAGCATTTATGCGCTGGAAGAGATCAAGCAGGGTGAGGAGGTGTGCATCTCATACCTGATTCTTGCCTTTCGCCACCAGCGCCACAAGTGGAGCTGGTGGCCGTTCGTCAGTGTCGGCCCCTGTTTTCGTGCCACACCATGACCCCTAAACCCCCCAAAAAAAACGACTCCGATCCGTTCGATCGGTCTTCTTCCTGTTTCGGACCGGTGTTTGTGGACCGGATCGGTCAAGTTCAACGCATCCAAAGCAACACCATGTTTCTTCTATTGTTTTTAGTATAAAAAACATAACATTAACTTCCTCATGGCACATATTTTTCCATGTCCAGTTGCACTTGCCAGGAATGAAGTGGATCAGCTGAACACCCTGCACCACCGCCGCGACCTGTTGCACCGCACCTGGGGCTTCCTCTGCCACTGCGATCGCTGCCGCGGCGGGCGGCCGCTGGATCGGCGCCTGGAGGCACTCGGTTCGGGGTTCAGTGAGGCAGCGGAACGGAGGAAGGCCTTGGCGGCGGTGAACGCGAAGTATTTGAGCTTGTTTGACGCAAGTTGTGACTTGGCAAGAAAGAATTGGCAGGAGGATGCAAGAAGTCTTTAGTCTTTAGTGATTGTTGTTGAGTGAAGAGTGGAGGATCTTGAGAGGAACATCCTGGAAGATGTTGGATTGGTGAGTCTAGTGGGAGGTTTTGATACACCCACTGACTGGTTTTCGGATCCCAGTTTATCCGGATGATACATGTTAAACGTCGATCTTATAAAGCAAAAGCAACATCTTAACTGTTGGGGTCCAGGTTAAGTCTTCATTTTGGAGGGCTTTCCTGCCTTTTTGCAGCCGGGCCCCATGTAGGGCGCCCACAGGTGAGCAGTACGATCCACCACGCGACTTTGAGTCAACGGTGGAGCGCTTGAACAGCTTTCGGAAGGAGTTTGCCTTTCTGGATCCAGCGCATACGGTGTCTCAGCGGGTTAGAAGAGAGCCTGGATGATGCTTTCGGCAACATGTTTTTCTTGAAATAATCTCTGTTGAGTGCATGCAAAATGATATCATCATTTATGTTATAACTTCCTGGTTAAACCGTTACGTATATTCTATGATATGATATGATGGCAATTTAGGATGCCCAAAGTTTTGAACGGGGGTAAACAAACAGTCGAATCTGGATATGCCAAGATCGACCCATTCATTTGTGTCTGGGTTTCAAAGGGACCCGAACTCACGCAGCGCCTGGGTGGTTGCAACGAGGAGCTCATTGCCACCTTCCTGCTCGGAGGCGTGCAGAGCGAAGTGGCCCAACGCTGCGCTGAACTGGCACTGCCACTGCTGGTGGAAGAGATGCAAGTTCAGCATTCGTTGCTTCCCTGCCTAAGTCCTTGCAAGATCACCCGCTATGCAGAGTTTCTGCAGTTGTTGCGCTACGTGCCTGAAAAGGAGGGACAATTTCACATGAGCAATCTGAAGGTGGATGGTTGTGAACTTCAACATCAACAGAGTCTCTGGCTCCATGACCCTGTGAAGGCCCGAGCCTTGGGTCTCCAAGCAGCGCGGAACCTCCCCGCGCGCCCATCCATTGGCGCGCCCCTGCGCACGGGACCCCTGCCGCGGCCGGGCGCCGCCTGCGCGCCGGGCGTCCGCGGCGGCGGGAGCGGTGGTGCTGGAGCGAGGGTGGGGCGAGTGCCTGGGTGGCCGAAGAGTTGTCGGAGGAAGCTGAAGGAGATGGAGAAGGACGGAGAAGGGTGGTGGCTGTGGCAAGGTCTATTTGAATGTGGCTAGGAGGTGGAATGAAGTGGAACGCTTCATTGGGTGATTTGAAAGGCCAAGACCGACCTCGTAACCTCATGTAACATAGTTTGATGGGTTGTGATATGACAGTGATGAGTTAGACTCGCACCCTGCTACCAAAGACACTCCGCGTGTCTAACACCCCAATATGCTACTCCACACAGTGTATAACGCTATATCATGGCCCATGACTAAAAGGACATGGATGGAATGCCTCCCTTGCTGGAGCCTCCCAAGACACCGCTCCACTCCGGGCACTGCGAACCCGGACGCCTCTGGGACGCCTACGCCGAGTTCGGCCGCCCCAGCCGCGCCGCGCGGAGCCTGCGTGGCGATGGCGCTGGAGGAGCTCCAGAGGGGCGGGGGAGAGGAAGGCAGAGTGAGTCGTGGTTCAAGTTTCGAGTAGCCAGGTGACCTGCAGAGGAAAAAGAGGGGCTTCCTTTGGTGTGGGCGGCTGTTGGCGGCAGATATGGCGCTAGCAGCGGCGGTTTTGGTGTTGGGGCTTTTGGAATGCTGTTTGAATGACGTTCTTTAAGACTCTCTTGCATGCCATATATGTCTTGGGACTCTGGTTGCTGCGGATCCAGCGGCAGCCAATTCTGCCAAATCACCATCTATCCACCCCCCATGGCAACATCAAAACGATCCGCAAGCTCCTCTAAACCACTCCTCCTCCTCCAGTTCCTCTGAACACACCGCCCCTGACTTCCAACCACCGCAGGCGCGACGCCTCCGACGCCGACGCTCCGAGGCCAACGAGACGACCTTGGCCTCGGCGCTGCTGCAGCCGGCGGCCGTGCTCGTGGGCGACACCGACTACGCGCCGGACGCCTTTGCGGCACGGTGCCTCTTGTCCGAGGCAGGGAGGGAGCTCCGGAGGGAGGGTGACTGTGGGAGAGTTGGGGCAAGCGGCGAGCCGGGTGGAGGGCGGTGGGTTCTCAATGAGTCTCGGTTTCAGTCCCCAAAACGTTTGATTTTGATGGTGTCCATGGGCACTCGCGGCACTCGCCCAACAACGGAGATCCCCAGGCGTCTCCAGGTCTCCAGGGGGGTCCAGGTGTCCCTCGCACAGCAGCGCCGCCCAGGGCGTCGGCTTCCTCACCCGCGCTGCTGCCCTGAAGCCTGAGAAGGTGGAGCCGGTTCGCGCCCGTCCACTGTCGTTCGGAGCGTCCGTGGTCCGCCATGTAACAGAGGGAGAGCTTAAGAGGTCAAGAAAGGATCAAACAGTTTGGGGTATAGTTTGGTATAGGGTCCAGCAGTTTCTTGGGTAAGGATCAAGCAGTTTGGGTATAGGGTTTGGGTTTGCAGAACTTGGTCAAGGAAGGATACCAGTACACCGACACCTGATGACACCGACCATCACCGAGCGACACCTTCTTCAGATGTCCAGATAATTCCAGATGTGACGCAGTATAAACAGTAGTAAAGGGACACCTGCGTGTGACCTGGATCTCCTGGTCTGGATCTATCCATGATCCACTCTTTTGGTGGGCTCGGAGACAGACAGAGAGACAGACAGACCAGCAAATCCCTTCCAAGACCATGGACCATGACCCTTGAAACCTCCAAACCTCGAGGCAAGTGATCTGTCGCTGGGAGGATTCGGGTGGTTTCTTGGACCGAGGAGATGTCCGTCCGAAGTCCGAAGTCGTAGGCAGCTTCGCAGCAGAACAAGACTCAGTCCGAAATACGTCCCCGATCTGTTCACCGGAAAATCACCAGTCCGTTTGAGCGAACGATGACTCTGACAAGCGAACGATGGGCTTCGGGACCTTCAAAGAGGGCAGTTCGTTCGAACGGCGACCGGTTCTGAACCGTTCGCCTCGACCGGTTCAACGGTTCAGCCCGAAACGCAGGTGCCGAGCGCCAAGCGGCGGCGCTTTCGGAAGGCCTTCGCCAAGTACCAAGAGCATATCAAGGCCGGTTTGGAGGGTCGAGTCTGCTGGTGTCAACAAGCAGAACATGTTTACTTACTTTTATGTCAAAAATCATGTGTGGACTCTTGATTAACAAAGCCCTTTCATAAGAAGAGGTTCATTCTTCAATCTGAATTGGGGGGGTCATTGATCAAGAGTGAGTCTACATTAGAGAAATTCTATTTCTGACGTATATTTTACAGCACTGGTATACCCATACACTCCATGGGAGTGCCATATATACCTACATTGACCCCCCCAAACCACCCCAACTGATCGGCATAGATGGCAGTTTTATGGAGCGTCTGGGATATAGCCCTCTGAGTCCAAGACTGTTCATCAAATGGTCCACCTGGGTGATCCGAGTTCAGGAACTTCCTTTACTTCAACGAGTCAAAATATCGTCGAACTGGACTTCTATAGGCTTAGGCTAATTATATAATTGATTGGTTAATACCATGTAAATATAGACAGGTTGTCATACGTGAGCAGTTTCCATGTCGGAATGTCCCATCCACTTGAAACGCGGTCTTTCGCGGTCCACGTGACGTGACGTGGCACCGACCGCCCCGTTCTTCCGCTTCCGAACGGCCACCCACCAGGATGAACGGGGCTCCAGGTGCCACGACCCAGCTGGCCATACTTTTGACCTAATGGACCTCGACATGTGGTCGATCGGCTTGTTGTTTTTCATGAGCAGGAGGTCTGCGGGTTGAGATCTCACCTGAGATGAGAACTGACTTGAGACCCTGGACCTGAAAAACTCAGGGCTCAAGCCTGGTCCTCATCTACGCGAAGTAGAATGGCACAGACTCATACCTTTGCAGTATATGATTTTAGATTCGTGCAAGAACACACTGGTTTAGTTTTGCTGGATGTCCATGGCTCGGGCCCCCCCACACTATGCCTGGGACTGTCTCTCTTTCCTTTGGGGCCGACGTGGGAGAGCCAGGTGTTCGCCCAAGAGTCGCTGGTTTCACTCACAGCGAGTCTGAGAGGGGGACCTTTGGTCGAATGCAGCCTGCACTCAACAGGCCTCCATCCCCAAGACAGGGATTTCTCATAACACCGTGAAATGATACCAGGACCCTCCGACCCTCCGGGTGCCCTGTCTGGAAGCCGAACGGCAGGTAGTGTGGGGTAGTCCAGCCAGGACACCCCGAGGGTCGGAGGGTCCTGGTATGATCGTTTCATCACTGAGAATCAACCATTCATTTCTTTGCCAAACGCACTCTCTGGGCCAAACGCAACTCCAGGCAGCCGCTTCCGGCGTGGAGGCCGAGATCTTTCAGAAATTGGCTTTTTGGCTGGGCATGATGGATGCCTGGTATGAGCAGATGCCTGTGTTGATGGACCTGCCCCTTGGTGGCAACCAACCAGCGACAACACCCCGCCAAACACAAACAATGCAAAAAAAAACATGTAATGTTGTTGATGTTGTGGTCGTTGTCGTTGTCGTCCTCGTCGTCGTCGTCCTTGTTGTTATTGTTGTTCAGGCGTGTCCCATACAGTGTACGCTTCCTTGCAACCAGTGAACCCCTCCAACCCAGCCAGCCCTCACGCCCCATGCCACCGCGCCCACTTCTCCACCACCTCACTCGCTCCGCCACCCCCTTTTTGCGCTTAGGTCCTTGCTGAAAGACGCCGTGGCGCAGCACGTGGTGCCCTTGGCCGCCTGGGTGCTGCGCCCGCACCTGAAGCCGATCGTGGGCCGGGTGGTGCCTCCGCCGGACCCCCCCCGACGCGGTGCTGAAGGACGAGGAGCGACGTGGCCACGACGTGACCGCGGACTGAGACCGGTAGAGATGGTGGAGGCGTTGGTCGCGGTGGGGACGAGATGGGTTGATGGGGTCAGGTAGAGTGGGGGAGTTCCTAGGGGTACCTCCCAAAGACCATATGGAATGAAAGAACATGACATATAAACCAGTTAAAAAGAGGGGGGCCGGGCTAAGAAACAGGTCGAGAGCACATGTTTGGGCCCTTGTTGTTTCGATGCTTTCATGAAACACACCGAACATCACCGAACTCCAGGACCTCCGCAAGCTTTGCCTCTCGCGCAGCTCCGGCTATCCCGCAGCTCCCGAAGCGGACGGCCCGGCGTCTCCGGCGGCACGGCCGTCCACCGGCACGGTGCCCATGCCGGCACGGTGGCTGAAGGAGAGCTCCAGCGCCTCGGTGTGCGGGTGGGCCTTCGGCTGAGGCTTTCCACACCGACTGAAGTCGTACCGAAGCGGTTCGTTCGGGTACGAAAACGGAGGCCATGTCCGGGACATGGCGCTGACGGCGTGGCCGACACGTGACGCGTTTGGGAGGGACTTCGAAAAAGGGGGCAGTCAGAACGACGGTCCCAAAGCACCTGATGATGTATTAAATCATTAGGGGGTCAATTCGCAGTCACTCCCCAAAAAGCAGTGGTCTGTCTCGAAAGACTTCAACCCATTGTATCTACCCTGCTGAATTTTTTGTATGGGCTGTTCCCAAACCCGATGTGTTGCTGAAGGGTCCCGGATTCTTAGGGTTGAATGTGGTGTGAGTCACCAGGCTTGCAACCAACCGCTCTGCTAGAAAAAAGCTTTTCTCTTGAAAGCGAAACCACAACGAAAGGTCGGCTCCAAACGAAATGGCGGCGCACGGGATCGCCCCTTTTTTCTTTGGGCGCTTAAGTAAAAGCAGCTTCGATCGGGTCACCATGTCAAGGTGTCCAGTGCAACAACACTCCCCCTCCATGGTGACGCTAGGCTGCCATGGTCATCAACCTCTTCATTTTCATCAAAATTCGACCGCTTTTGGTCTTCCAGCTCAAGCTGCTTCGTCTTCATTGGCCAGAACAGGCCGAGCAGGGCGTGTATCGGAGGACCTCACCGCGAAGCAACCGACACACCCTGTTCGAGTGTGCAATGCCACCCCAACTGGTTGTCCACAGGGTGACAGATGTCATCATTCCCATCATGCTGGTGCACTCTTCGCACCATCGACTTTCCTTGACCGTCCCCGTCCGAGGATTGGTCAAGTAAGGGCACATCATAGTTCGGTGATGTACTCTTCCGAACTTGGTCGTCAAGATCTTTGGATCCTGGCCTTCACCTTGCTGCATTGGCGGAGGCCTCACTTGTGCTTTTGCGTGTGCGCTGCTTTCTCCTTTCTGTTGGAATCGTGACTGGGCGTCTGCTGATGCCATCACAGCAGATGATGCAGCCCCAGCTGATTCCTCTTCTTCGTTCCTTTGCTCCTCCTCTTCTTCTCTTCGCTTCTTTTCTGCTTCCTCTCTCTTCTTCTTCCTTCTGATTTCGCTGAGGCTGTCCAAGCGGCATCCCGTCGGAGATGACGGTGACCTTTCTGGTTGGAGCCATCGACCATTGGGAGAAGGAAACCCCCACATTGTGACTTGGGTCACTGGAAGCTGGGTTGGAGTATGAGGTGGTGCAGATCCTGGTGATCTCATTGGGCTCGGCAAATGGGATGGCCGAGATACTTCTTCTTCATCCTCTTCACCTTCTTTCTTTCTTATGGCTCGCAGTCTGGCTTCTCGTCGAGGTGGTGTCCTGGGAGGACTTCGCACTGCCGACTCTTGGTCACTTGGTGATTGGTCTCGGCTGCGTGCTACTCCCTCCTTCAGGCACCAAACTAAGAGAAGCACCATCAGAGCCAGGGGAATGAGGATCATCATAACTTCCCATCCCAGGATCTCTTCTTCATCATCTTCATGCTCCCCCTGCGCCTTTGCGCTTGCCAGTGTGGCGGCGATCGTGATCAACTTAATGATCACATTGGCCTTTTCTTCATTTTGGCCCTTCACTTCCTTTGCTTCCTTCTTCACTTTTCCTTCTTCATTCCATTCACTTTCATCTTCTCCTTTTTCATTCTTCACCTCGGTGTTTCTGAGAGGTAGCCCCATGTTGAGCTGCTTCTTGAGGGTTTCAACTCGAGGAGCTGCAAGTGCCTTCGTCCCCAAGTCTGCAATCATCTTTTCGCCTGGCACGTGGTGCAAGGTCCACAGTCCGTCGAGGATGACTTGCCTCGCATAGGAAGACCGCATGCGGAGGTGTCTCGTCCGCCAGCTGCCGCCCTCGGCTGTCAGGATCGTCATTCCTGATTGGCTATCTGTCCAAGCCATGCGAACGACGGGCTTGAACAGCTCATCCAGAATCACCCCTATGGACTCTCCTGCAACCATACCTTCAATCACTTCGTTCAACTCGGCTTCAGCAGTTGACAAAGTAATCGTCGACTGCCTTCCAGATCGCCACAGGATTGGGCTGTTTCCCAGGAGGACCACCAGGCATCCATGGCTCTCCTCTGAAGTTGGAGAGTAGGAGGCGTCAGTATACACATGAATCACTGGTTCAGTGTTGGCCTCCTCTTCAAAAATCAAGCCTTCTTCTTTCGTCTTCCAAAGGTAGCCTTTCATCTGTTTGGAGGCTTCGAGAACTGCTTGTGTTCCTTTGAGGACGGCTGAACCCATCCTTGAGACGCCGTACATGATGTCAGGGCGTGTTCTCGTCACCATCCATAGGAGTTCTCCTACGGTCTTTTGGGCAGCTTTGACGTCTGCCGCTGTTGGTGGGCTTGGATCATCCACCATGGCCGATTGATCTTTTGAGATCGGGGTCTTCTTCTCTCGGAGCTGGTGCACTTCTGGCTCAAGGAGGTCTGTCGTGTAAGACTGTTGAGAAATGAGCCATCGATCTCTACCAGTCTCCGGGTTCACCTGCTTGATGATCTCCATGCCCAAAAACTTCACTGGCTTTTCGGCTATGTACTCAGGACTTGATGTCGTCCACTGAGCTTGCAACTGATCCTTGACTGCCAACATCACTTTTCGTTCGGCAGTGATCATGATGTCATCGACATAAGTCATCAAAAGCCCTCGGAGCTTTGGTGCATCTTCGTCATGATGGAGTTCGACAATCCTCCACAAATTTGGCTCCGAATCCAAGGCCTCTAGGCACAAGGGCTTTTCTTCTCCTTCAACTTCGATCTCCATCTTTTGGAGTACTTCATCGCGGTGCTCACCCCACAGGCGTGGCGAGCGGCGGAATCCATAGACCGCCTTGAGTGGGACATAGTATGTGTCCTTGGCCAGCAATCCACGCTCCACGAAAAAGGCAGGTGGGCATACCAAAAGCAGCTGTTGATCTTCTTTTTGGGACATTTTGGCGTTCAAAAAAGCTGTCTTGACGTCCACCACACAGCCCTCCCACTGGTAGACCACTGCCACCCAAACCATAATTCGAAGGGCAGCTGAGTCAGCTCCAGCAGAGAAGTTTTCTTCATTTGGATCTTTGCTTTCGAAGTTTCCGCAAACGACCCAGCGGACTTTCTTCTTTCCTCCCTTCTTTCCAGGCTTGCGGGTGAATACAAGCTTGGAAGGGATGAACTCAACTTTCACCCCTTTTGACTCGGCATCTTCCACCATTCTTTTCACCTCCCCCTTTGTGACCGGCTTCAAGGCCAGCTTGTCGGTGAGGAGAGATGTAATTTCACCTTGTGAAGGAGCCTCCCACATCACCCAACCTGCTGCGACTTCTTTCGGAGACACGATTCGGGTTTGGAGAACTTCTTCTTCTTCTTCTGGGCTTTCTTGTGCCAACGATCTCTTCATTTTGGCCACCATCTGTGACGTCAGGATGGCAATGCTTGGCGGATCTTCTAGCGCCAAGAGTGCTTCTTCCTCCAACAGTCTTTTGACATGGTTCCGGAACTTTTCTTCCTTTGTTTCTTCATCCTCAACCTCCTTTTGAAGTCTTTTGACGGCGGTTTTACCTCGAATCCTCCTCCGAAGGCTCAGGCCGTCCAAAATTTCCTTCTCAAGGGCGATCCAATGCCCCTCAGTTGGCGGGTCATCCAACCTCCTCATATAGCACCTCGTGAGCCTGGGTCTTTCATCCTCCCTCACGATCCAGTGTCCGTGGTTCTCAGGGGACGGACAGAGATACCTCACCCGTTCACAGAGATACCTCACCCGTTCACTTGTTGGGGCCAGGTCATCCCGCGTCCATCTTCTCCTCCGGACCATGACCTCCGTCAAAAAGGCGGGAAGTCAGGAGACTGGTGGAGCCTTTTTGCTCTGAGAACCTCGTTGCAGTGTCTTAGGGCCCATGGCCACCACTTCGAAGTTTCTTTGGCCTGATGTAAAGCCTTGCGAACCATCGTCTTCAATGCTTTCACTGCGGCCTCTGCACGTCCGTTGGACTGGGGTTCGTCCCCGGCGGTTTTGGTGAGGATGATTCCCCGCCGCCTTGTCCAGTCCTGAAAATGGCCTGCATATTCATGGCCTTGATCAGAGTGTATCTGAGCGACGGAGTATCCGTCCATCCTCAACCTCAACAGCATGTCCATTGTCGTCCTTGTGACTTCCTTGGACTTCTTTGAGTGCATAGGCAATGCCAACCTGAAGATCTCGATCTTGAAGTCTTTTGGCGGCCCAGCATCAACTTCTCTTCCTTCAGCCTCAATGGCCCCTTCATCTTCTTCTCCTTCGGCCTCAATGGCCCTTTCATCTTCTTCACTTTCATCGTCACCGAAGACTCCTCGGCCCGCTTCTTCTTCAGCGTCCGACAATCCTCCTCGACGTTCACCAAGTGGCACCTGATCGTCCTTTGGCGGCACCTGGTCATCTTTTGGTGCTTGATCATCCTTTTGATCAGCTTCTTCTTCTTCTTCATTGGCCTCAATCAAGGGCCACAACTCTTCATCTTCACCTTCCTGAACTTCCTCCCCCTGGACGTCAGCATCAAAGCCCAGTGGAAGTGCCCATGTGAGCGTCCCAACCAAGAAGTAGCGGGACTGAAGACCTCCTAGGTCGTACGCTGGCTTCAGCGGTCCAGCCGTGTCCAATGACAGGACCCCTGCCAACTTGTGTTCCACCTTTCTGTGTGGAGAGCATTGCTGTCGCGTTTCTTGGCATACACGGCAGTCTCTTCTACTTGGTGTGTGGCCCAGCAGCAGGTGCTCTTCCCAGGAGAGTGCACGGAGCTTGACTGGCCTTCGCAAAACCTGAGTCATCAAAGCCTCAGCAATCATCGACATCATCCCCGGAGGCCATCTGGCTAGGTCCCATGACCCACGGACGTGGTGATGGATCTGGCCATTGATGGAAAATTCCTCAGGAGCTAGCTCAAGGTTCCCACCAACCGTAGTGGGCTTCACTGCAGCCCCTCCAAGCGGCTTTTGACTGAAGGTCGTCTCCATCCAGCCGA